TTCAATATTGTTTTCAAAATTTACACAATTTTCTTCTGAAACATTAATGATATTATGATAAAAATTGTTATAAATATAATCAATTAATCATATTTAATTTGTGGAAGAAGTTCATAAACCCGACTCTTTGATTCATGAATTATTTATGGCATTCATGTATCAAACCTTCAAATTAAAGAGATTTGACTCTTCACTTTTCTCGATTCATTCATAATTCATAAATCCAAGTGTAGGAACATTCATATTTACTAAATCATTAAGATTCCTTGAGTTTTGGAAATGTACATTATAATATTAAGGGAAAATGACAATCAAGTCCCAAAAGACCAATTTTACACCAGTTAAGTTCCAAGTAATTTTAAAAGACCAATAAAGTCCCATGCTGTTTTTCACAAATCAGAGTTCTAATAAAAAAGACGAAAATGCCCCTATAATTATTGACTCAAGGAAGCTTTATTCTTTGTTGAGTTTGTTTGGCTGGTGCGTTTAGATATGTTGTTTTTTTTTTTTTGCAAATCCCTACATCTGAACAAAAAAGTTGATTCCATTAAGGTCCGATTTCTTGCAAAATGGCTCTCCTAAGGAAGAAGATGGAATGCTTTTTTGCAACTGAACATGAAAGATTTTTTTTTTATTTCATGTCTCTAAAAATTTGGCATGAAGATTCAACATTTTGCAACTGAAAGTGTAAGAATTTATCATCGAGTATTCATATTTTAAGATAGAACGTTCTCACTGTCTGACTGATGCAAAAATCACTTATGTCAAAAGTAACTTATTTCTAAGTGATATATTATTACATTTTAATTTGGTAAGTTTGCAAGTTCAAGAATTAAATAGTTCTTCGATCCAAAATTTCATGTACAAGTTGCAAATTATTCCTAATGAAGTTGCAAAATTTGGTGTCTCAGTTGCAAAATACTGGAACGTTGTCCTAAAAGAATAACTCTTGTAAGAATCTAATAGTTCTTCGATTCAAAATTTTGAATACCAGTTGCAAATTGTTCCTAAGGAAGTTGCAAAACTTGGTGTCTCAGTTACAAATTACTGGAACATTATCCTAAAAGAATAACTCTTATAAGAATTTAATAGTTACTCGATCCAAAATATCGAGTACCAACTGCAATTGCTTCCTAAGGAAGTTGCAAAATTTGGTGTCTCAGTTGTAAATTACTAGAACGTTGTCCTTAAAAATTTAACTTTTCTAGGAATTTAATAGTTTTTTGATCCAAAATTTCAAGTATCAGTTGCAAATTATTCCTAAGAAAGTTACAAAATTGGATGTTTCAGTTGCAAATTAATGGAATATTGTCCTAAAAGAATAACTCTTGTAAGAATTTAATAGTTCTTCGATCCAACATATCGACTACCAAATGCAAATTGTTCCTAAGAACGTTGTAAAATTTGGTATCTCAATTGCAAATTACTGGAATATTGTCCTAAAAGATTTAACTTTTCTATGAATTTAATAGTTCTTCGATCCAAAATTTCGAGTACTAGTTGCAAACTATTCCTAAGGAACTTGCAAAATTTGGTGTCTCAGTTGCAAAATATTAAAATGTTATCCTAAAAGAATAATTCTTGTAAGAATTTAATAGTTCTTCGATCCAAAATTTCGTTTATAAGTTATAAATTATTCTCAAAGAAGTTTTAAAATTTAGTATCTCAATTGCAAATTACTAGAGCCATGTCGTAAAATATTTAACTCTTATAAGAATTTAACAGTTCTTCGATCCAAAATTTTGAGTACCAGTTGCAAAATTTTCCTAACAAAGTTACAAAATTTGGTGTCTCAGTTGCAAATTACTGGAGCTTTGTCCTAGAATAATAACTTTTTTAAGAAATTTAGTAGTTACCCCACCTAAAATTTTGACAAACAGTTGCAACATTGGCTATATATAATTGATTTGGTTACTTGTTCAGCTTCCTTGATAGTCACAAAGAGTGTTTTATATCACTTCACTTTTCCTAAAATAATAATGAAATTAGAAAATTTCATGATTCATTTGTTACATTGAATTGGATCACCATATGATTAAAGTAATATAAGTAACAGCCCAGCTGTTTCAATTGGCAAGAAATACACGTTATATAGATAATTTTTGCCACTCGCATCGAATCATTGGCTTCTATAAGACCACTGAATTTTCCTTCATTTTTTTAGAAACTCTTTTTTGAAGTTGTCGTATCCAGACTTCTTTTTTGTTGTAGCTTTCTTGTTGTCCATAATTTCTTGATGTCTCAGTTGCAAATTACTTTTTTCTGGTCTGCAATAAAAGCAAATGAAACAGATTCAGCCAAATGTTACACCCAAAAACACACCACATACATATACACTGATATGGAATAGTGAACATTTAGGGTAGCAGCTTTTAATGGATTAATTAAAACTTGGGCAAATATGAGAGAGGAGAAAGGGGCTAATAGTGGTCATTTTCAAAAACATCAGGCCACTGTGATTATAGATAAGCTAAACGTAAAGGACATGTATATGCAGTGATTACAGTCCCAAGCCACATCATTACAAATATCATCCCAATACAAATGTAAAGAATGCACATACCAAACACCACCTAAAAGATTCTTCATATTTCAATGTATCTCATCATAGTTTGGCTACTATAATCATAAATGGGTAGGGTACCAATGCACATATTATCTCTTAGTGTAATAAACTCAGAACCTCATATAAGAGGAAGCAAAACAAACATAGAAGATTGCCTAAAAGATATGAACAAGAATCGGGTCTTACAAAATGCTACTCAAATTTGAAACACCCACTACTACAAAATGCCCCCTTACTTGACGGTTATTTTAGAAATTATTTGATGGTTTTTAACCGTCAAGTAATGAGGCGCCATATATTTATTTGACGGTTAAAAACCGTCAAATATTTTAGAGATTACTTGATGGTTATTTCAAATAACCGTCAAATAATCACTTAAACATTTGCATATATTGCAGCAATATACTTGACGATTATTTTAAATAACCATCAAGTATTTAGTAATATTTGACGGTTATTTTGTAACAAGCGTCAAATATGCTTTTACAAATTTTGTGTGCTAAATACTTGACGGTTATTTCATAATAACCGTCAAGTATTCGTACATACTTGACGGTTATTTTGAAGTAATCGTCAAGTAAACTTATACTTGACGTTTCTTTCTAAATAACCATCAAGTATTTATGATGTGTTTTTTTAAAAGCTGGAAAGCAGCCCCCTACAAATACAAAGCAATCAAATATATATACCAGCCAGCTAACAATAAAAAATAATTGAATCATTATTTATATTGAAATTACAATCTAAATATCTTTAATTTATCTTATATCTACCTATACTCTAAACCCGATGCCATAAAAAAATCTATAACTTTACCTACTTTACAAGTTTAAATTTCAAAATTAATTGGCCTCAAACATAAAATTGACCAAAAAAATAAATGTGTACACCAAAACTAATTAGGCCTAACCACTGCTGCTATCCACATGTTAAAACACAGCCTGAGCTACCTCTTCAAGGGTTTCCTCTACATGTGCAGCTGCATACTGAATACAGTAGGCATCCTCGAAGTACTGTATGCAAAGAGTTACAACAAATTCAAGTTAATAGCTATCTAACAAAAGTTGTTAAAATTTATAATTTAAGTATCATTATATTTAATATATACCTTGTTAGGTAATGTGGTAGGGGCATGGGTGATAATGTCCTTCAAGAATCTCATCAAGCAATAGCCATAGTCATTGCTCTAATCTGGCTGGAGTGGACACTGTGCCAAAAAAATTACATATCAATAAAATAAAAGTTAAAAGGCCACGGTTTGTTAATTAAAAACTCAGTCCATTAGGTTTACCTTAACTGTGACCCATGTCTTACAAGAGTCCAATACCCTTAAGCTAGGGGACAAGGTCTTGTTGGTCACAGTTCGATACAAGACCACAGCTCTAAGAAGGAAATAAAGAATAAATGTTAGAAATTTAATATATATGGATATTAAAATAACAATTAATAAAAATTCAACTTACTTATTAAAAAGTTCTACCATATCTGGCTTATTGCTTGGTTCTCCATTAAGAGGATCAAGATACCAAATTTTTGAAACAACAGGATTAACCACAATAAGCATCCAGTACCCCCTAATAAGAAATAACAAGTGTTATCAAATAAGTAAATATAAAAAATATTTACTTGTACCAAAAGTAGCTAGAAAGTGGCTTACCCTTGACAGTAAGGAGCAAGAAATAAAGTATCATTGCTTGCTCCCTTATCCTTAAATTGATTTGAAAGCTGCCTTGCTTGATCTTTAAGAGCTTCCTTTGTAATTCCATTATAGGCAGAGACATCGTGGGGATTAATCAGCTTGAATCTAAACTCAAGGCCGCCAGGAATCACAAATGAGGTATAAAGGTGGCTTAAGTAAAAAAAAACCAGGTTAATACACACATGTGCACACATACATATATATAATTTAAGTAATTAACTGAGCATTATCGAAGAAATACCTCATGTAGAAGCTCATCAGACTAGTACTGGCCATTTCGTGCTTGAGAATTTCATTTAAAATTTTATCCCGAACAACTTCAAACAAGCCCGGTCTTCCATACAGCCCATCATCAAAACTAATGATATCCCCAATCGCAACTTGACGAGCCATCCTCGTAGCCATCGCATATGTCTCAAGAGAGGCACGGTATTTGTATTCTACAGTTGGCACCGGTGCTGCTGGATATTGTAAAACTGTGGCTGACTCTTTAGTATGGCCTGACTTACCTTTTAGCTTGCTCTTCCCTTTCAGCTGCACAACAAAAAAGTTAGATATTTATAATTATATTATACAATTATAAATAATTATTTAAACCATACCTTTTTCTTTGGAGGCAATGGGTCCTTTGTCGGCTTCAGTGTTACCACTATTACAAGGTGGCTAGGCCATGCAACGAAGCTCCCTACTGCTTCCCCTACCATCTGTGCCTCATCAGTAAGAACAGGCAATGGATAGTTGGGGTCGATGGCAACAAGTAGAGAAACTCTAACACAGTCGGGTGAGAGGGGATGATTATGGATTGTGTCCCCGAGAATGTTGTACACACGCCCTGTTACAACCACTCTACGTTCAGGAGTGTCTGCCAAACAATTGCAATCGTTCTCGCCCTAATTAAACAAACAATGACAATCAGTTTCTAAAATAAAAATAATTAGACAAATTCATAAGATAAAACATATTACCTCAGGTAGTTTTTCTGAGGGGACTGTGCAGCTATCTTTCTGACTAGGGCTAATCTCACCCAAAGTCCTCCCAAGGACTTGCCCTTTCAATAACATGTCAATTAATGCTGCCTGGGCTAGTAGTTGCTGCTTCATAACGGCTTGCTCTTCTCTCAGCTCTTAGACCTCAGACGAAGAAGCTGATGTTCGCTTTTTTATCTTGCCAAAATATTGCTTCTTCGTGACTCCGAAGCCAACACCCCTGACACGACCAGGGTGGTCAGCAGTTCCCAACGCCCTAGCCAAGATATCCTCATCCTCAGGAAGGTTGCCCTGTGAGACTTCCTGAGAGATGGAATCCTGTGTAGAGTAAATATGTTTAGTTTGGATATTCATAATTAATTATTAAGTAGTAGATAAATATAATACTTACAATCTTTTCAGTAACCTCCTTCACGCGGGGGTTGTCAATAATTCCTTCTTTATTAGTGCGTGCCAATGCCCAGAGCTTATAGCGGGATATGGTAACCTCTGATCCCTCCTCCTCTAATTGTTTATGCTCAATGCCTGCATACCCCAACCTCCCTGCTCTATAAGGATATTCGTTCTTCGCTACTCTCTCCTTATTCTGTGTACTTAATTCCTTAACGAGTTAATAACAAAAATTTTTGTTAGTACATACACATATAATCAATAAATAACACCAAACTTGAAATTTAAGAAACATTAATACCTTGAATTCCTTCTCACGCCGTGAGGCAACAAAAGCATCCCAATCCTCTTGTTTTACCAAAGGCTGTAATAAGGGAGGAACTCGAGCTACAAATTCAGCATCAGGATCTTTCAAATATTTCTGTGTGATAAAATACATGAAAGACCGTAGTGCCCTCCTAGCCTTTTGTAGGACAAAATCTTGCCTACTCTCATCAATGTCAAATTCTGACTACAAAATAAAATAAACAACATATCAGATGCATTAATTTTAAAAATAGTTTATACCAAAATATACTTAGTAAAATGTAACTTACTGCTACAGTATCCTAAATAAGAGCCTTCGTGGCCTCATCTACTTTGCGCCATGATTTTACTGTGATAGGCACAGTAGTCTTTGCCACCACCCCAATATAACTTATGAATTTTGAGGATTTAATTGCTTGCCCTTTCTTGTTCTATTGCACATCAATTTTTTTTCCTGCAGCTCTTATTTTTGTCACCTCTTCCATTATCGTTAGGCCTCGTTGAATGTTATTGTACTCCTGCTCTAGCTTTTTCTGTGTACTCGGAACCTCAGTCGAATTTGTAGCTAGAATTGATGGAGGGGTATCAACAGACTCGTTATTAGAAGCCATTTATCTATAAAGGAAGACAATTAAATCAAACATTAAATAACTTAAACAAAATTCACATAATTAATTCAAACATTAATCAACTTAAATAAAAAGAACACAATTAATCAACTTAAACAAAATGCACACAATTAATTCAAACATTAATTAACTTAAATAAAAAGAACATAATTAATCAACTTAAACAAAAAGTTTTATCATTCAAGTTCTCATATAACTTAATTATACTCAATCAAGTTACCCAACAATAATTGATATAAAAATTTTATCCCAACAATCTATTTTATCCTATAAATTCAATATAACTCAATCATATCTAATCAAGTTATCCAACAATAAAATTAATCACCATCATCACAACAAGGGAAACAAATTTTCAACAAATTCATAAAATGCCCAACAGTAAATTAATTTTCATACAATCTTAAATTTAATTTCAAAACTAACAAAGAACTGAAAACAAAAGCCTATATACATTCAATCACAAATCGTAGTTCTAATGAACAAAAAATTCATATTCCAATTGCTAATTCTAATCAACTCTCTAATTACAATCAATTGACAACAATATCACAAGGAAGAAGGATAGGCCAACTTACTTAAGAGAGGCAGAGCACGAGGATGAAGAAGAAGAGCAGGGGAAGGAGGAAAGAAGACAACTCGCGTTTTGCACTGTTGAGAAGTAAGTAGGGGAATTTGAAGTCAGATTTACCCTAAACACTAAACCTAAAAATGAATTAAACAGATGAAGAAGAAATTAAACTCACATATGGAAGATGGAGAACGAACCCAAAACGCCTGAAATAAGGACTTGGATGAACGAACAACCTACAAACCCTAAAAAATGGAACCCACGAGCAAAACCCAAGAAGAATCGAGTCTAAATCTGTGTTTTTGGGCAGTTTTAGTGATGGAAAATGATTTTCGAGCACTCTGGGTGTATTTTCAAAAACGTTTGAGTTGCAGAAATGTGAAAATGAAAGGTTTTGGAGCGTAAATTTAAAAGGCAATACTTGACGGTTATTTCATAATAATCGTCAAGTATTCATTACTTGACGCTTGTTATTAAATAACCGTCAAATAAAACTCAGACATACTTGACTGTTATTAATAAACAAGCGTCAAGTAATTAACTTTTTTTATTTTTCCTTTTGAACCATATATTTGACGCTTTTTTACAAATAACCGTCAAGTCTTCCGAAATATACTTGACGGTTATTGTAAAACAAGTGTCAAATATATTTATAAAAAAATCAAATCTGGGATGCATATATATTTGACGGTTATGCCAATATAACTATCAAATATATACTAAGTACTTGACGGTTGTTTTGAAACAACCGTCAAGTATTTAGCACCTTTTTTATTTGTCATTTTTCACTTATAACCGTCAAGTATAAGTCGTCATATTTAGCTTATTCTGTTGTAGTGACCATAGTGATATGCCATATTTTGTTACAAAAATTAATACCTAAATAGAAGTATAAGCCTACACTTAAACAACTATTTGCATAACAACATTGCAAAGCTGATGAATTGACCAGTCTGCATCTTAATATAGACTTTAAAGTTAATAAAACATAAAACAGCAGGATCAAATGCTAATTACCATTAGATAAAGTCACTCGCATTCATTATAATGAGTTCATAACACAAACTAGTTTAAAAATAGCACAAAATTACTATATAGCTAACTGACAAGCTTTTCTTCTATTTAAGAAGGCATATCATGTTGTTCTTACAAGAAATCCTAGAAGATGGAAAACGAGTAACTAATGGGGTATGATATTGATTGTGTTAAACTTATTTATAGAGCTGCCATTACATCACAATTGTAGTGATAACAACTTTTGAATGACATGGAATGTAATTCAAACTTCATGATTTGGAAGACATTTTATTAAATATTAAAATATTTTTATTTGATTTTGAATTTATGACAATATACTAATAAAGCAGATGTGTATATATCTATGTATGTGTGCATGTATATGTATAACGGGCTAAAATCATATTCAACTTCTTCTAATTTGATAAGTATTTGCAGTCAAATTTCATGTAAAACACATGTCAAACACTTAATTTATCTCTAATTTGTGTATCCATAAAACTGATTGTCAACCAAAAACTACATAAAATAAGCAATAACTTATGGTCTTAGCAAGTAAACACGTTACTAGCCTTAGTTTCTGCTAATGACAGACAAAAGTAACAATAGGACTAATGGCAATTTTAAGCCTGCTTGAAATGTGCTTGAAAGGGATACGAAGTACTAATATTTATGGTTAGATAAAGTAGAAGGCTGCACATGTACCCATCATCAGATTAAATGGTTCCCCTGTCATTCTTTTTTGCAATTTCACACATGTAAAAGTTGCTAACCTACTGCTCTATCATGGGATAGAACCCTTTACAAGATCCTTACATCCTGTAGCTTGCTTCTATAACTTTGTTTTTTGCATTTAACTGTGATTGGCTCTTAAATATGATATAGAACTAAAGTCCATCAGCCAAATCAAATATCCCCAAGCTCAATTCCAATATAGAAAACACAGAAACTAAAAATTTTGCTGTTGAAAGATTCATACATACTTCTTCCAACTTAGAGAACTCATGTCTGAAGCCAGAGTATGCAGGAAGCTTAAGGACAGTCAGACAAAACATAAATAGTAATAGACGCAAAGATTATGTGAAATCAATAGAAAACCATAACTTATGCAAGAAGACAGAAGCACATGAATGACATACTGACTTTCAAGAAAGGGCAAAGAGAAAACAGAGAAGAGACGAGGAGTAATATACAAAGATGACAAGATGAGAATAGACACAGATGAGAAGCAATGTACTGATAAATCAATCAAAATAGCTTTCATTGAGGAAGAGAAGCTTTCCTACGGTCAATCAATCGAAAGAGCTCATGCTAAGGCAGAGAAGCTTTCCTCTAATCAATTAATTGAAATAGCTCCTCGGTAAGGCAAAGAAGATCAGAAGAGAGCTCGTCGTTAGGGCAAAGAAGAGAGCTTGTCGCACACATAGGAACTCATTAGCAAGGCAAAGAAGAAATCGAGCAGAGATAAGAGCTCGTCCTACATAGGATCTCGTTCCGGCAGAGAAGAAAACGAGCATTTAATAATTACTTGAGAAGAAGGGTGTTTCAGTCTTTTCCCGTGACACCAAAATACCACTTAAGGACTCTAGGACTTCATTAGCCTTTTAGAATTACTTGGGACTTAACTAGTATAAAATTAGTCTTTTGAGACTTGATTGTCATTTTCCCTAATATTAATAGTGTGGGGATTCAGTATCATGTTTATATAATTAGGATTTAATTATTGGAAATCTCTAAATAGATATCCACCCAAAAATCTCTCACAGACATTAATTAAAGTGGATAAGGCTCCTCCATCTTTTTTTTTCTCTAAAATTTTCTCTTGATCTTATCATGTTGCCAATATATTTTCAAAAATTTTATAACAGAAATCCTTTATATATTTTTACTTTTGTATAAATTAAATAGTTCTCTTCTTAAAAATAGGCCCTATATAGTTTATAAAGAGAATGATAGTTAGGTCTCAAAGGAATGAATTAATGCTAGTTAGGTCTCTAATAAAATTTTCTATAAAATGAATTATAAATATCGATTCAAACAGCTACAAACAAAAATTTCTGTTATAATCTAAGATTTACATTTGATATTTAAATATTTATTTGCAATTAAAACTTTTGAGTTTGTAATAATCTGGATTGATTTTTTCAACTTATTTTTCAAAAAAGTTTGTTGGGGACCTAACTGTTATTCTTCTTAGTTTATATATGATGCTGTTAACATGCTTTCCTATCATTAATTAATTATAATATCTTTCCTGAAATCATTATACTTCTTTTTATTTAATAAATTTACATATTTTCTTAAATTATCTAACTATTAGTGATCATCTACAATTTACAAGTGAAAATTATATATGTGTGGGCTTGTGAGTATGGGTTGAGGGAGGTAGGGAGAAGGGCATTTCTATATAGCCCCTTTTTGCCAAACAAAGACACAAGTACTTTATCATATTTTCCAATATTTTAAATCCATTTGTGTTTTCTTGGGAAAAAAACACCCCTTTTTGTTTTATACTTTTATTTGATGCCATGGTCCCAAATGTCATTTTCGCACGGTACTATTGTGTTCATGAAAAAATAATAAAAATCCTTACTCCTATCAAAATATTCAACATTGTATCAATAGTAATTGAATCAATGAGGAGGTAAGATGTAGGAGTTGTTATCTATTTTCTATGAGTATATGCAGCTTTTTATAATATCAATAGCTCTCGTTCACATTAAAAGATATTGTAATATCCTCCCAAAAATTTTTCTTTGTTTATTTAAATTTTGGATCATTTTTCTTTCTTCAATCCTTAATACAATATGGCTCGTAGAGATGAACTACTATCCCAATATAACTTGTCAATTCACAAGATGTTATCAATTAAAAATGAAATTGCATGCAAATAACAAACTATTCATGCTAAAATTTAAAACAAGAAA